GCAGACTTCTTCAGGTGTGCTGTGAGTTTAATTTATAAAAGATTTGTCAAACTAATGTGAAAGCAACCAGGAATTTTAAATACTCATAAATGTAAAACTTAGCATGTCAAACCAATTTTTTTAAATGTCAAATTTTGTCAAATTAATTTTGTCATTTTCACAGAGCCCAGCCCTCCTATCCAGATTATTGCAAATGAGGTATGCAGTGATTCGGTGTCTCTGCAGTGGGACACTCCTGATGGTGAAGTAGTGAGCTACACTGTGACTTGTTGCAGCGAGGGGAAAACTGTGCAAGAGCTAGCAACAGACACAAACAGTCTGACCTTCAGCTGCCTGAAGCCAGGGGTGTGTTACTCCTTCCATGTATCTGCACAGCTTAAAAATGGAACACAAACCAAGCAAACAGTAACATCTGTTAAAACAAGTAAGTGAAAATTTGATTATGACATGACATGATTTAAAATATGATTGTGAAAAAAATTTAATTATATCAGTAAGAAAACTGTATTCAGTAACCATACAATCACATCTATCAATCTATGGAATATTATTTGGACAGACAGACCTAAATTATTATCATATGCAAATGATCATTACATTCATTATAAAATTACATATGGTTCCATCAATATTACTTTTGATTGAAAATATTTTTGGGGTATTTACTGAAACATCTTCCTGTTTCAGTAATTGCTGGTTTCATATAGAAAAGTAGAGAAGCCAGGATTTGTTTGTCGCTGTTAAATTTTCCCTCTTTATCATGGAGAGGTCTAATGTCCAAACTTATATCTGTAGGGGATGCGTTATAGGGATGCTAAATTGAGGTCCTTTATGTTTCAATTTTTAACAAATCATATTATTATCTGTGCCCTTATCGGGCATAGATGGGATCTTGTGGCATTTGCCATTTCTTTATACTATAACACTGTGAAAAAATACTAATCATAACTAATTCCTTTGTTCCTCAGATCAGTCAAATTTGGTATCAAATGAGGAACAGTTTAAAAGAACCAGAATTTCTGTTTTAATATAACATCTAATGTATTTTAGAAAGCCATATATTCAATCTGATACAAAACATTTTTTTTTATTTCTGAAAGTATCATGTCAGAAGTTCATAATGTGTGTAGTGCCTATACTCATCAACGAACAGACACAATAACCCACATAGCAGGTCTGGCCCGGATCTCAAGCCGGCACTGCTGACTAACTTCTGGCATGATAAGACGTATGTCATCCAGATTTGGGCCAGGTCTGGCAATGATGCCACTGAACTATGCAAGAGCTAGCACTTTCAGACACTGAGATTCACCCTATAGCTGTCAGCGATCATGCTCCTGTATCTTTAACACTAATGCACAAGAATAATACTACGCCAAGTAAAAACTGGAGATTTAATACATCACTACTTAAAGATGAAGACTTTATTAAATATTTTAAAAAAGAGACTCAAACAGTCTCAGTCAACAGACTTTAGCGAGCAAAGTTCAAAGAGAGGGAGGCAGTCCTAAGCAGCAGCCCCCAGAGTGAAGGATCTTCAGCCTTTTGTAGCCATAGGTGAGCACAATGGAGCACCACAGGATCCCTAGGCAGCCATTCGTCTATGTCGGTTGACATACTTCACCTCTGCATACAGGAAGGCTGGCATGGGACTCCAGCTAACCAATGGTCAGCGAGTCCTGACACTCTTAGATTTCCTTGAAGAGAAAAAGGCTGTCCCACTCCTTCCGAGGCTCAGGGCCGTAACACCCTTCCCAATAAATAACAAAACTAGATTTTGTATACACAGACTTCACAGTTCACAGCAGAAAATAAAACAAGTCATACTCACAACCTGGACAGGCCATCAGCTAGTATATTTTCCGATCCTTTTTCATGCCGAATCTCTAAGTTGTATTCTTGTAGATAGGGCCCATCACATGAGGAGTTGATTGTGGTTGAACATTTGAGCAAAGAAAACAAGAGGGTTGTGATCAGTGTACAGGGCTCTAGACTAACTTTTTGCCATGGGCGTACCGGTACACCTAACTTTAAAAAGTTAGGCGTACCGGCACAAAAGTTAGGCGCACACAAATTTTATAATAACTGATATAATATAATGTGTTTTTCTGGATACACTGTGCTTTTTCAGCATTCAAAGATTGATGACACCGTGTCAGAGCACTGGCTATGAATTTCAGAAGGATCAGGCCTTAACAGAAAAGTTAGCAATAGTTCTTTTCCTATTACAGCTACATCCACTTCTGTCGTGCCTAGGCTGCTCACTAGGGCTGGGTATCATCACTGCTTTCTATAATCCATTCGATTCCAGTTTTCAAAGTCCCGATTCGATTCAACTTAGCCTCAGACAGTCAGAAATATTATAACTCTGATCATTTATCAGTACTGACTTCATCAGAATTGTGAACATCACAGCAGATGCCTTTGTGTGAAAGTAACTGAGAATAAAACAGAAAAACATGAAGGAGATTTTCCTGGTCTGGCTTTTTATAGCAGATAACCTTAAAAAAT